TTCACTTTAATTTTTTTAGAGCCTGCCCTGGAAGTAGTTCTTATAGACCAGACCAGGCTGGCCTCGAACTCACAGAGATCCGCCTACTTCTGCCTCCCAAGTGCTGGGATTAAAGGCGTGCGCCATCACTCCCTGGTTTGATGCATGCCTTTAATTTCAGCTCTTGGGAGGTAGAGGCAAGCTGATGTCTGAGTTTGAGGACAGCCTGGTCTACAGAGCAAGTTCCAGGACAACCAGGACTACACAGAGAAACCCTGTCTCAAAAAACAAACAAAAAAGACTAACATAATATTAATCTTACCTTTATATTTTTATATTTATTTATTTTTATTTACTTACTTGGTTTTTCGAGACAGGGTGTCTCTGCATAACAGCTCTGGCTGTCCTGGAACTCACTTTGTAGACCAGGCTGGCCTCGAACTCATAGAGATCCACCTGCTTCTGCCTCCGAGTGCTGGGATTAAAGGTGTGTGCTACCACTGTCCAGCATTATTTTTATTTTTTAGATGTGTTTGATAATACTAAGGCTCAGAGAGATTAAGTACCTAACCCAAGGTCATTTAACCAGGGAGTGTTCTTGACTTCAAGTCCAATTATGCTTTTCGCCCATGATGAGAACAGTACAGACAGGTGGGAAGGTTTGTACAGGGTAGAAACAGGCCAGCGGCAGGCATGGTTGTACTTGGTTGTCTTTAGCCCAGCCACAGGATAGGAGTCCATTCTAAACAGAGACACACGAACCTGCCTGGGTATCTCCCCTGGGCCCTCTAAGTCTGTCATGAGGAGCCAGAGAGATAGCCTGGATTGGCGTGGACCTGTGGCCAAACCCCAAAGCCACTCAATTCACACCTATGTCTACCAGCCTCACCTTTATGAACATAACCGGAGGCAGGAAAACGGGCAGAGAGGGTTGAGAAGACAGAATGGCGTGATGGAGTGGGATGGGGAAGGTTTTAGCCACAAACTAGCAGCAGCTGCAGGGGTCGACAGCGCCTTAGTCATCCACACATGGTGAGGTGCCAGCACCCCAGCCTGTGCACCCTGTCTGCTGCACTGAACGGAGCGGACGACTTTACACTTCTGACAGGCACTGTAGAAGAATTTTGTTTTTCAACCTTTATCCCATTTCAAACTTCTGACATGCACTGTAAAGGAACTTTATTTCATTTTTTTTTAGCCTTTATCCCATTTGATGAGTAGGTTCAGTGCCCTCTTTCTCCTCCAACAGGTACCGTAGTGGGAATTAAACTCAGGGCCTCTGTAGCGAATTAGATTGGTACGATAAAAAAAACAGGCCAACTCAAGAATAACAATTATATTTTAATGGTTATAAGGAGAAAACTCAGGCTATAAGAGTGAGAGGTCGACCTGGTCCTCCCAGTTTTTCTTCCTGGGGTCAAGGTCGCCACGCCTTAATTAGAAATGATTGGTTGACAGAGTTTCCCCATCAGGCCTCATGCACGTTTGGCAAGTACTTCCCCTCTGAGTTATGCCCACCTCCAAGAACTTTACTTTTAAAATATATTTTTATTTTTTAAAATATTCACCTAATATTTTATGTGTACGAGCATTTGCTTACGTGTATATATGAGCAAGTGTGTATGGTATCTTCCGAGTTCAGAGAAGGTCATCAGATCCCCTGGATCAGGGATTGTGGATGGTTGTGAGCCACCATGTGTGTGCCGGGAACTGAACCCAGGTCCTCTGCAACACACAGAACAGCACGCGCTGCAACACACAGAACAGCACGCGCTCTCAACTGCTGAGCCCTAAAGTAATTGTATTTAAAATACAGTATTGCATGGGCTGAGAAGATGGCTCAACTGTTAAAAACCTGTATTGCTCTTACAGACGGCCTGAGTAGTTTTCTTAGTGCCCGTGTAGGGCAGCTCATAACGCCTGTAACTGCAGCTCCAGACAATCCAGAGGGCACCTGAACTCATGTGCATATATCCACACACACAGTTAAAAAATTAAAATAAAGCTGGGTGGTAGTGGCGCACGCCTTTAATACTAATATTCCAGAGGCAGAGGCAGAGGTAGGTAGCTCTGTAAGTTCAAGGCCAGCCTGGTCTAAGAAGAATGTTCCAGAACAGCCAGGGCAGTTACACATAGAGACCCTGTCTTCAAAAATAAAAACAAAACAAAGCAAAAGCAACTATCTATCCATTTATCTATCTGCTATCATATATATACATATATATGTATGTGTGTATATATATATATATATATATATCCAAAATCTTTTTTAAAAAAAAACTTTAACTTTATTTCATGCGCATTGGTATAATGATGTCAGATTCTCTTGAATTGGAGCTACAGACAGCTGCGAGCTGCCATGTGGGTGCTGGGAATTGAACCGGGATCCTCTGGAGGAGCAGTCAGTGCTCTTAACCACTGAGCCATCTCACCAGCCCCCTATATCCAAAATCTTAAAAAAGAAAAAACAAATTGAATTGCAGGATCGATGATAAATAATCCTCTACTATGCTGGGGTCTCTGGGCTTGAGTTTCAACATCACATAAAAGAAAAAGTTAGCCAGGTGGTGGTGGCGCATGCCTTTAATCCCAGCACTAGGGAGGCAGAGGCAGGTGGATTCTGTGAATTTGAGGCCAGCCTGGGTTACAAGAGTAATTCCAGGACAGGTTCCAAAGCTACAGAGAAACCCTATCTCGAAAAACAAAAACAAAAAACAAAAAAAGAAAGAAAAAAGAAAATGAAAAAGTTTAACTTAACTTTTTAAAGTGGTGGTACATGCCTTGAATCTCAGCACTCAGGAGGTGGAGGTAGGCATATTTCTGTGAGTTTGAGGCCAGCCTGGTCTACACAGTGAGTTCCAGGACAGCGAAGGCTGTTGCACAGAGAAACCCTGACTCAACAAGCAAACAAACAAACAAAATTGAAGTATAACACACGTATAGCCTGCTGGTTTGGAATCACTGTATTTTGGTCTTGGCCATTGCTACCCTTAGAACTTGAGTCTGGCTTCTTTCTTTTAACATAGATCTGTGAAATTCATTCTGTCAGACCATCCATCTACACTGTTGCCTGGACCAGTGGCTCTGGTTTACTGCTCATACTCTAGAAATGCGTCATGGCTCACATGTCCATTGGACAGGTAGACTATTTCCAGTTAGCTATGATCAGCCAGGCACAAGACTGTGTGGAGAAATGTTTTCATCCCGGTTGGGTAGATACCTGGGAGCTGAGTGGCGGGGTCATGCAGTGGGTATATATTTAACCTTCTACAATACCGCCATAGGGTTAGTGGCATGTATTTGTGATTGCAGCACTTGAGAGGCTGACTCAGGAAGGTTGTGAGTTCAAGCACAGCCTCAGCTACGTGGTGAGACCCTGTTCAGTGACAGACTTACTCAGCAGGGGCAAGGCCTGCTTTTTTTTTTTTTTTAAAAAGAAGAGGAAGTGGTGTGGGAGAATTATCTGTATTCTGTCAATCATGTATTTTAATAAAACGCTGATTGGCCAGGCAGGAAGTATAGGTGGGTCAACCAGACAGGAAGTAGAGGCGGGGTGATGAGAACAGGAATATTCTGGAAAGCAGGAAGCTCCCTCTGCCACTCCTGTGCAGACCACCAGAGAAGCAACATGTAACCTGCCCAACTGAAAAAGGTACCAAGCCATATGGCTAACATAGATCAGAAAAATGGATTAATATAAGCTATGAGAGTTAACAAGAAGCCTGACCAAATGGGCCAATCAGCTTTATAACTTATAGAGATCTCTGTGTGATTGATTTTCTCTGGGACTTGCCGGATGTGGGGTACTGGGAGGGACAGATACCCCAAGCAAGCTGGCCCTCATTCTACAATAGAGGAGAAGAGGGGCAGAGTCTGGGAGATGTCAGGCAGTCACAGAAGAAGCAAGACATGTAGAAAATGAGGTAGCACCACAGCCACGTGGCAATACATAGAGTAATAGAAATGGGCTAATTTAAATGTAAGAGCTAGCTAGTAAGAAGCCTGAGCCATTGGCCAAACATTTATAAGTAATATTATATTACTCGGTGGTTATTCAGTAATTTACTGACTGTTCACATCTCCTTTGTCTCTGTATAGTCCACAGCCTCTGCCTCTGCTAACTACATGCTCGTGGTACCTTTTGATTTGGGTATCAAATTCTCTAGATTCTCTCCAACTCTTTCTTGTATAGACAAACCTCCCTGAACACACACACACACACACACACACACACACACACACACACACACACAGACCTCCTCTGGTCTAAAGCTTACTGTGGCTCCTGTAGTCTGCAAGAATAAGCCCCAAATGTCTCTGCCTGCCATTCAGGGTCCCTCCAGTCCCTGCTCCCTGTCTTTCTCTCCTGCCTTCCATAGCTTTTCTCTGCTCTTGCCCCCTCACCTGAGAATGCAGAATGTCTGGTTCTCTTTCCTGGCTCAAGGCTGCTTAAGCCAAGTCTACCTGCTTCCAGGGAGCTATTGGCCAGTTCCTCCTCTCATACTTTCTGCCTCCTCTA